TCAATTAGTCACATCTACGATGTTAGAAACAATATGCTATATCGAAAAAAAATTGAGCGAAACAAAGTTAGTCGTTGGTAACCTATCGTCCATCAGTCCCTTGTATGGACTTAAATCAACCATATCCATACTGAGATAGACACGTTTAGTTTCTTGATGGAGTGCAACGCAGGCAGGTATTTTTAGGTGTTCTGGGATTTGGTCCAGTCACCTTTTGGGATTTAGTCCTCTAGTTCGGTTACCGTCCACTTTTTCAATCACTAGCGGACGTTTAAAGCTGTCCGTAGTTCTGTCAGGGAACTGACCAATCAACGCCAGTATGTGCTGCAAATAGATATTAGATAAGCGCTGACCATATTTTGAGGTATGCGTAACATACTTCGTCATCACCACATTCCTAAGGCATCAATTCTTTGCCTGTCAACGACTTTCATAGTCCACGTCTTTGCACTATACAGAATCGGATAGCTAGATAGATAGAAATATAGAGAAGGCAAGCGTTCGTATCAGATGCATTTTTGTTCCATTAATAATTTTCCTATCTCTCCAAATTTTATTCAGTGGGGTTATTGCTATTTTGGCCATGTAAATTCTCCTACGGATTTGCATACATTTTATTGGCATACTATTCACATAGATATGACTGGGACATTAAGTGGCAAAAGCGACAGAAAAGAAATACGCGTCAGTAATGATTGATTATGTTATCAAGTATGTCCTTTAAGAGCATACTCTATCCCTCGATGCCAGTTGTACTATTAAAGCGTTGAGAAAAGCTGTTTCTCTTTTCGGTGTTCTCAAGCGAATTGTTATATCGGGGAAGGGGCTTTGTAAGCGCGGACTTTAGAGAATTGAGTAAAACACCTCGTATAGAACTTTACTTTATAACAACAGGGGCAAATAAAGCCAACGGTCAAGTAGAAAGGGTCATGCAGATTTTAAAATGTCTGCTAACTATTATAGAAAACGATACCCATAAAACGTGGCGTGACAAACTTCCTGAGGTACAAGGGACGAAACCGCTTAGCATTCAATGGATTCACCGTGCGGGTGCCGGGTCCATCGCGTTGCAGGGAGGGGAGCTTCAGCAGTGCCTGGGACTTGCGACCCAGGTGTGGGTTTAAGGGGCCCCTTAACTAACGCGCGTTGTACGCTCACCTCCACTGTCCAGGTTCCTCTCCCTACCTAGCCAAATTTGGAAGGAACCTGCTAGGGCTGCTTTCGACGTACGTTCCGAGAATGATGCAATGTTGGTTCTGGACGGGCCCAAGTCTTTTAGTAGGTTGTAGAGAGATTTGGCTGTTATGCCTCTCGCTCCCACCTCTACCGCGGACGAACCTATTTCGAGTTAGTTCGTTAGTGAGCTCGTAATACTTAATGACCTTGATGGCATGGTCTTTGGGGATGTTGGTTTCCCAAGGCACCGTAGGCTCTATCATCACAGCGCGCTTTAAAATACGCGAGTGTAGAAATGTGTCTGGTCTGGAGGCTGACGCACGGATATCCTCGGGGATTTTGTGTTGTTTCTCATACGTATCCATCATGATAGTCCAATCCGAAGCCGCTTTAAGGATAGAGTAAGGCTTGACGTTTGATTCTATAGCCCTGGTGCTCTCTCTCACAAAACCTATTGATCGCTCGTTTGTGGTTATTTCCCTTTGCGCTCTGGCTACCGAAAGGCTAACCGCTTCAAGTATGATCTCTAAAACCCTATAGTGACGACGCGAGAATTGACCGCTGTCCAGGAGAACCTTACATCTCACTAGCAAATGCTTAGCAGTTCCAACTGCCTTTCCGCAGATATAGCAAGTGTTTTCGGTACCTTTACCCCATCTTACTAAATTACTCTGATCTGGGAGAGTCATCTAGCACTTAATAACACAAGCCGTAGTGTTACAGGATATACTCCAACAGAACTAATGTTTGGCATTCGCGCGCAATCTTTAGGGATATCATTAATAGCCCAAAATTCAAACGAGCCGAGATTAGATTTAGACAATATCCGGAATAAAACTTCCCTCAACACTGAAAACGCAGATCAAAAGGAAATAGTTAAATTTAGTAAAGGCAAAGCCCAAGTAAAACCTTTTTTTCTTTCTCGGGGAGATTACGTTTTTGTTAAGTGTAGCGAATGTTACCAAACTAAACTGCAAAGAAAGTTTAGGGGACCTTTTATCATAACTAAAATTCTAGACAACGATAGGTACGAACTGAAACATACCGATGAATCTAATTGCACTTTAAAATACTCTCATGAAAACTTGGGCGCAGTACCCAGAGGCTTTCAAGGGTTAGTTGACATATCCACTGAACTAAGTAATGAGGAGGCCGAGACGGCGGGTCATGGAGTGGAGAGAATGGAAACGAAGCTATGTCAGATGATGAAAGTGGCGATGGAACTGGCTGATGCGGCCGATGTTTCTAGTAGTGATGGATCAAAGCGTGCAGGGGCTGGCTCGATGGAGTCCACGTCCGGTCGACGCTTGATCAGGTTGTGAAGATGGACGGGCTAGCTCTGTGGAGTCTATGTCCGGGTCATCGTTCACTCACATGAGTATAAGTAGTAGAGATGATGGGGCTAGCTCATTGGAGTCTCGATCATCGTTCATTCGTTTGGCTGAGTTGTTCTGGATGCTCTGCAGATTGTGGTCAGACGAATATTGTCGTCCAGGTCAGAGCCATTTAAGTTGGCTGACTTGTTCTGGTGAGACGAATATTGTCGTCCGAGTCAGAGCCATTTAAGTTGGCTGACTTGTTCTGGTAAGACGAATATTGTCGTCCGAGTCAGAGCCATTTAAGTTGGCTGACTTGTTCTGGTAAGACGAATGAAGTCGTCCGAGTCAGAGCCATTTAAGTTGGCTGACTTGTTCTGGTAAGACGAATATTGTCGTCCGAGTCAGGAGCCATTTAAGTTGGCTGACTTGTTCTGGTAAGACGAATGTAGTCGTCCGAGTCAGGAGCCATTTAAGTTGGCTGACTTGTTCTGGTAAGACGAATGTAGTCGTCCGAGTCAGGAGCCATTTAAGTTGGCTGACTTGTTCTGGTAAGACGAACGTAGTCGTCCGAGTCAGGAGCCATTTAAGTTGGCTGACTTGTTCTGGTAAGACGAACGTAGTCGTCCGAGTCAGGAGCCATTTAAGTTGGCTGACTTGTTCTGGTAAGACGAACGTAGTCGTCCGAGTCAGGAGCCATTTAAGTTGGCTGACTTGTTCTGGTAAGACGAACGTAGTCGTCCGAGTCAGGAGCTATTTAAGTTGGCTGACTTGTTCTGGTAAGACGAATGTAGTCGTCCGAGTTAGAGCCATTTAAGTTGGCTGACTTGTTCTGGTAAGACGAACGTAGTCGTCCGAGTCAGAGCCCTTTAAGTTGGCTGACTTGTTCTGGATGCTTTGAACATTGTGGCAAGACGAATGTAGTCGTCCGGGTCAGAGCCCTTTAAGTTGGTTGACTTGTTCTGGATGCTTTGAACATTGTGGCAAGACGAATGTAGTCGTCCGGGTCAGAGCCCTTTAAGTTGGTTGACTTGTTCTGGATGCTTTGAACATTGTGGTGAGATGAATGTTGTCGTCTGGCTTAATTGCTACGAGATGCTCGCCTTAAGTCTTAAGTACCATAGCACATTTTGATGATTGTAACTAGTCGTTTGTCAGGATGCCGAACGGAATAGACACAACTGTAGTTCATTGATCCGAGAACCGCCCGAGGACGGTCGGATGTCAGTCCGGCCGTGACGGCGCATCCGTCAAAAATCATACGTCAGGTTGACTTTTAGCTGTCTGAGGTTAGCCTAGTGAAGCGTCATTGTGATGGTAGCGAGGGCGGGCATCTTAATATGATGGAGTATCGTGCGAGATGACGCCCGCGCACCGCGCTCGTGACGAATCGCTGTGTATCGAAGTGATAGTGATATCTAGTGTTTCGATTGAGTTGGTGTTGTATTGAATAGACTGTACTTTATCCCTTTCAAAGTATGAGTTCCCATGAAGGCCCTCCTGTTCTTATAACGCCCTCCTACACATATTATACAGATTTGTATCTCCAAAATATTATTTTTTTACAGTGAACAGCAAAGTTTAGACTCAAAACATTACCTCTTTTCATTTTGCTTTGGTTCTGTATACTTTACATTAGTATGTGATATCTACTCACTGCAAGATTTCATAAACACACAATGCTGAAATTAAACACAGGTAATTTTTAATTTTAAAAAAGTAAGTGATTTTTTTCATTGCGGACAATTTAGAGTAAAACATTTTATTCGTTTTTAATTGATTTATAAATATTATCTTAATTAATTTTTATATGTATTAATAATTATACGAAATTACTTTTGGTTTTTAAAATTTTGTACTCGTCTATTTCAAATCTGAATGTAAAACTTTAAATTACTTTACATAGCATGTGTGATTTAAAAATAAATTAATTAGCTACCGTTCGATTAATTACATAAATTTCAATTTCAATAGTAAAAATAATGTTACAATGAAATCTAATTTATTAAAGAAATACGCAGTAGGGATAAAACTATTTTATATTTATAAATATATTTATGATTTAAAAACAACATTCACGAACAAAACCATGAGAATTATAACACAAATTATGTATCACATTCTATAAAAACATATTCACAACATACAAAAACTGTACATTGAAAAATAAATGTATGCTTAGCACAAGTCTTCATCACCACGCTAACTATGCGTTTCCCGTTTATCATTCAATAAATTACCTACAAAATATAAGAACTTGCGAATATTAAGAATAAAAATCTGGACACGATCAAAATGTTGTGTGAGGATTCAAACTTATGGTAAGCATACATTAAATATGAAATATAAACTACACTTATCCTTACATAATCATTAATTTAAGACTACACGTCTTAAAACTTTTGGGCGACAACATTGATAGTGATTTGTTACATAGAGATTTTCTTTCTATTAAAAAATTAAATATATTCTTATCCTACGATCCTGACTTTAATTATGCAATATTTTTTATAAATGCTTCCTTATATCGTGTACCAACAAATTCTTAAGATAGTTATCATCATTTGCGAAACATTCAACAATATCGAAATGGTCCATATTGTCTTTTATTTCTAGATACATGTTCTGCATCAGGCAGGTATTATATAGAAGCTCAAAGAACTCTCTCGACTGCTTTTTGAAGGTAGGACTATCGTGTTGCCCGGCCAGGATGTAGACCCGCACTCTTCTGGCCTGGAGGTGAGTGAAACAATCGAATTGAGGAGACAAAGGCACCGCCCACTCTCTAGGTAACTGCACCGCCATGTTCACTGATGTGTGGATTAATTCTCGAAGGTCAAAAACACCTGATATCAGAAAGGCACCTTGCAGACGGTACGACCCTGGCGTGTGTTCAAGGAAATCGGAGTTCGATAGGAGCTTTGCAACTAAATGTGCTCCTGCTGAGTGACCCGCAAAATAAACTCCCCTGGAAAAAAATATTTAAAGAACAATAAATATGATATCCTTTTACTCGAAAAATAAACATCACTTATTTATTTTTATAAGTAAATACGAGTCTAAAGGATTTCTTGCATATTAAATACAGATGAGTTGTAATATCAAGTATTCTGGATTAATTATTACAAACAAAATAATGTTTTAAAGGGTTCAATTATAATAATTTAATTGACATTTCATCAATACTTTATCCTTTGTTTGTAATCAGATCGTACAAGGCCAAAGCGTGGTTACAATAGACTACTGTAATTGTATCACGATAACCAATTAGTCGTTGTTCTCGATGTCAGCTTCATATTTTCGACAAAAAAATTGGTAAAGAACTGTTTTCGATTGAATTCTTTTGATGTCGCTGATATACGTATCGTTATATGTAATTTTATTTGTATAAAAAACAATTTATACAAGTGTTTTTTTTTGTAATGAATTGAAATATTTTTCTTATAAGAAAAAATAATATTGTGAGAATTACGAGCTATAGGTATATTTGTGAGTTAACGATTATTCTTAAAGACTCTTAACATGCAACTTTAACGAATGCAGGTGTTATAACATATGCATACCTCGAACCCATTTTTTCAGCGTATGAAAATACGAATTTCGCGGCATTTTGTATCTGGTTTACAATTTCTGGTAGCGTGGCAGCCGGACAGAGGTCGTAGCCAATCACGATGGTCTTTATCCTAAAGCGGTAAAGAGGCTGTGCTGGGTATCGCGACAGTTCACGAGACAGTTCCTGCCAGTAACCGCCATGTACATACACAAGAATCGGTGAATCTGGAAATGAAATAAATGGCATTTAAAATTTATAACATCATTTTGGAGATGAAATATTGAATTTCTATATCAAATTGCTTATGAATCATTTTATTATACGCATTGAACAGTTTTTTTGCTACCAATGTGGGGGTGTATTAACTTTTTTCATTAATTATTTTAGTGGTTATTGTTTATGAGCTCATAATATTGTTTGATAGCTTTGAGCTTAATTAATTGAGAAAAAATATTATATATTAATGAAATAGGAAACAGGTTAAAAAATTAAGTATTTCAATAGAAAGACCGCAATTGTGAAAGAATTAATTTTCCTGGTAGTTCAGTGAGTGGGAAGTTTTCAATAACTGAAAACGTTTTTTATATAGAAGGCGTTTTTAATATATGTATTCTAAATCATAGAGCTCGAGTAGTTTAAAGAAAACGAAGATACGAAAGTTCAAAGGTTAATTTATATGATTAAGAGTATTACGTAATTTAATACTTTTTTGAGTAGATTTTAAAATATGCAAAAAATCAAGAATTTTTTTTTAATATCTAAGACATTAAGATATTTATGGATTCAAATTGTGGTCTGTAAAATTATAGTTTTTTTTTTGGATAAAATCAGTTCTAACCAGTTCTTTTACAAACACATCACTTAGGATAAGCGCTATATGAGAACTTGCTAGATTTTGTTCTATCGGCACTTTAGCTAATGTGTTCAAGAAGCTCTTAAGTAAGAATAGATGTCAATGTGTCTACTTTAACACAAATATTTTAAGTTTTAGAATCAGATCATACGAGAAACATACAGTGTCCAAACAATATTTTATGTGGACATCTTTCAAGGGATTATTTGTTACAATTTTTTGTGTTTGATGAAAAATTAAACTCTCCAATCCTGAACATATATTAAATAAGTAGCGCGACTGTTATTTTACAATTTTAAAAGTCCCAAAGCTACTAACTTTCTTTAATGTTAAAGTTATAATAATTTTATTTTATTGAAAACGACATTTCTTTTATTTCGAAGGAAAAAATTCAAATTTTTAGTATTCAAGGTAATCCGGCTGTCAAAACCCTAAAGCGAGCAAAGAACTTGATTAACCAGTAAATATGTAATGTGTCTTTTAACATTCTCTAGAAGAACAGGTTAATTTCAAGATAATTTCTTGAAATATAGACGTGTCATTGTACAATAGTAGCGTAAATATTTATTCAATTTAATTAATGTTCAATAAGCAATAAAAATAGTATCATTTGTGACGAGAAAAACCTGTTTCGTTACAGGTGAATGTACAAAAAATAAACTATAATATGTTTGTTAAACTGTAAATAATAGTATATAATATTTGATTAATGATAGTTGAATTCGATTGACATTTTAAATCATCTTATGTATCCAAATAAATTTTGTTCATTGATAAATTAAAATAGTATTTTCCAAGTATAACTAGGATAGACATCGAAGATATACGATTTAGAGAAATATCTTTATTTATAAAATAACATTGCAAGTTTAAATCAAACTAAGAATCTAAAAACAATTAATCTACTTTTTTAATCAGTGAAATGGCGACACTAAAAGATGTTGACAATAAATAACGAATTTATATAATATACAAACACGATAAGTAAAATTGTATGGAATTAAGATTTTTTAATTTAATTTTGCGTAGTAGAATATAATAAACCTTACCGTCGGGAAGGTCGGTTCCTAAAATGTCTAGCTTTTGTCCTGGAGTAGAACCGTACTCGATCTCTAGTTTATGAGGCACGTTGTTTATAGCTGCTTCACTTGCTGCAAGAAGAAAATACGTCAAAAAAGGTTAAATAATTTTCACGATGTCTGAAATACAAATTATATTAACAAATAATTCATAAAGAAGAGACCAAAATCAAAATTGGCATATAAATATATTGCATATTTTATTTTTCAAACAGTATGATCAAAATATGCAGAAAGTGGTCCATATTTGATAAAAATCATTTATACATTGAGCGTTAATTGCTACTACAGTTTTCAGGACAATCGTGGTTATATGAATTTAATAAATACGAATAAATCCAACCACTACACAAAATTATATGGTCAATAATCTCGTATTGTGAGTAACAAATTCTTCTTATGATTTTTTCATAGAACCATGGACTTGGTTGGTTCGAATAAGAAGATATCGTGAATAATACTTAAATATTTTTCTACTCAAAACATTACCTTTAATTTATCATAATAATTAAAAAAAAATCTAGTTTCGAACCGATCTTAAAAGATGTTAGTTGGTAATTGTTTTAAACGGAATAAATTAGTCACAACTGGTTATAGTATCCAATAGGATGGTAAAAAAAATGTGGCCAACTTCATCGCTAAAGGAGTGGAAAATTTTAAGTCTTGTTTCATCGACTTAACTTTCCATTTAATGTTAATGAGATGAAGTTTTATAAGCATTCAATAAATACGTTCAAATAATTGTTTTAAGCCACTTTGTCTCTGTAGAACTTAAAGTTCAATGATTCATATAATATTTAGTTAGTGTTTATAAATATTTTCTTAGATCAAGATATCTTCTGTCACTCTAAATGTTAGTTGGCTGTCACGTTCGAAGACATTAAAATAGTTGAAGTCAAAGCGTTTTGTTTAAAGCCAAACTAAGTAAATGTAAATATACCTAATTGAAACACAAAATCTTAAAAGTACCTGCTTAGAGGTTCCAGATAGAAAAGAGGGATTGTCTGTCTTTATGGGTGAAGCTAAATAAAATATAAGATCTATTTGGAAACTAACTTCAAGGTATAGTATATGTATATCAGTTCCAAAGTCAAGCCTTGGTCCATTCTCTCACAATTATATCGAGAAATATTATTTAGACCAATGTAACAAGATACATTTCTTTATCATTGAAATGAACATAGAATATCTGTGTATAAATTTCCTTAAAGCCTCTCTTCAAGAAATTGATTTGTTTTTATTATTTAACCTGTTTAATTTTATCAAAATATTTTCCGTGATTTTGTATGAACAAAATAACAATTAGCATACACTCAGACGATATCGGAACATAAAAACATTTATCTGTTTTATGTTTATGGAATTAAAATTTATTAATATTATATAGTTTGTAGTATAATAATATAATAGGTATGAATTATCGAATATAAAAAAGGTGGAAATCGATATTCATACGACAATCTGTCAGCGTCAATAAATTTTTTTCAACCAAGCTATCAAATGATTAAGATTTATAATGTTTTAGTTAAATGAATCGTAAAACATTAATATAAAAAGTTATTTATATATTTTATTAAAAACTATGAATTCTCTTATATTCATTATTAAAATAACATTGAGTTTATATACAATAGTTTTTTTATTCTATTTCCTTCCTTAAAGATATAAATGAGATTTAAAATAAAAGAAAAAATACAGGGAATATAAAATAAAAAGGAAATAATTAAACAATGGTTAACCTATTTAAACACTCAATCGTATACTACAGCATATGTATCTCAATATATATAGTATGTATACATATATGTTATAGAAGCGTGTACCGTTAAACCATATGACCCGAAGCAAAACTTGATTATTTACAACTGTCTTACAATTTGTATTAATAACTAATACTAGATAAAGTGCAAAAGGAATTCATCGACGCTAGAGAAACTTAATTTTTTTGTTACTTTTTCTACGGATACTTTCAACTTATATTGATGAAGCGTCTTTTTTGCGAGGATAAGTAAAATGATAAATTTAATGATGATCATTCTTCATGTCCGTTTTAAGGCGTCGCTTCTCTCAACTCCCGATACCCAAACTGTCACCATATTGTTAATAAGTAATGCTTACTCTCATAATATTTATACAATAGATTCAACTATTACCAGTAACTGCCGGTCCCAATGAAAAATTAAGATTATTTCACCATAATAACATTCTATAGCAACTTGAATCATCGCCTCACTTTTAATGGCTACTTGCATACGCCATACAAGCGAGTTGTTGTTTTCCTTGAAGTTATTCGTTAGGAAGATTTTTAATTTTACTATACCCATAAACAATTCCGTATAAAGAAATACATATTATTGTATTTCTTAATAGTTTTGTTTATAGAAATATATAAATAATTAGTCTAAAAAGATGTAAAGCTAAATGATCGTCATGCCTACATGTGTATTGATTCTCAGAAAGGTGATTATATTTGGATGTTTTGATTAATTTGATAAAAGTTATGATTTATTTACTACGTTACCGTTGTATAATGTTTTTGGAACTTACGAAATTCCCCTTTTAATTTTAAATAATCAAATAGTTTTCCATATTTTATATAATTTGGATTTCTCACCAGTTATTGCAGTTTCCTTAGGAAAAAAAAATGTGCTGTCTTTTTTTAAAAATACGTAAGAAAACATTTGTAAGAAATTTGGTAGTTAAAAATATATAAAAATAAAGTAACTCTTGCAAATACAGTATAAGTATGTGATGAACAGCGGTTTAACTCACAAAAAATGTAATTAATACAACAAATTTATTACCTGCGCTGACGAAGTCTACGTGGTGTTGTAATACTTTTTGTGATGTCGAGAATCTTCTAGACCACTTGCTAGGAGAATATTGCTTCTCCAAATCCATATCGTCTGTTATCAGAGCCATCGTTGAAGGGTAGATCTATAATTATAATATATAATAATGAATAACCTTCCTTTACATACAAATAAAATAAAACAGAAGTATTGTTATTTTTCAATATTAAAAATGATGTCATTTTAAGAGTATAAATAATCTGCGCACATTTTTATTACTTATCACATTGGTTGTAAATAAAGACAAATTTAAGATAACGTTTTATAATATGATAATCAAATTAACAAAATAAACTTTAGTAACTTAAATATTTATTTTATAATGATTGATAAAATAATATTTTAGAACTTATGAAGTTATTAATAAACTACCTACCACCATGTTGAAGTTTTTTATTATTTCTATCACTCTGTCACGTAACAGATACAGTTGTATATAAAAACAATGAATTTTCTATCAAAAAATTTCAACTAAATTAATTCACTTTAAATATAATTTAACAATATTTATTTTAAACTTCCACGAGAAGTGTCCGAACTGAAATATTACTTACAAATGAACCGATTAGAAACAGATAAATAATGATTTTCATTACATTTGTTTATAAACACAAACATTATATATCATTAACGATACTAAGGGTTATGCTTGTTATATAATAATTAATATAAATATTTTTCTCGAATTCTATCTTCAAAACGTAATTACATTTTTAAGTAAATATATATAGATAGTGAAGGTGACATCATTATTGAAAATATTTTAAAACTTTCAATTCAAATATTTCCATTACCGATAATTAACTTTCCAACAAAATATATTAAACAATAACTTATAGTATTTTTTCCTAAAATGTACATTTATTAGAGGAAAATTCAGTCGTTACTCGCATAGGTCTTCCTATACTCAACTCATGAACAACTTCGTTTTAATTTAATTACTATATCTCAAAGTGTTATCGTGTATATTGCTATTAATTTATCCCGATTTTGCAATAAGACAAAAGGCTATCAGTGTTAGTCGCCATTTATTAATAATAATATTAAATATGTCTACTATTAACAAAGCAAGCGGTTGTTGACCTAGATTGATGATATCATATTACTGTAAAAACGCATTTTATAAGCCTATTGCGAAACAAAACATCAAAACAAATTTACTTTAGAGAACCGACTCATAAATTTTTATTCTGTTTTTCTATAATTCATGATCTCCACATTTTTTAGAGAACATTTAAAGTTAAAAATTAAAAACAGCGTACTGTTTCATCTCATCATTGAATTTGACGCTAGTGTCCAGGACTTTTGGAAATAAAGCTGTGGGCAACAGTTTTGGGAACCAAACATTTCATTTCCAAAAATAATAACTTTTTTTAGCACAGAACGTAGGGTATTTTCTAAAGGATATTCTAAAACTTTCGAAATCAAATTTAATCTGCTGATTTAAAGCGCTATATATGTATAACGATGGACAATAATTTTTTTTTTTTTTTTTAACGAGGAGAATCTGTGGACAATAATTTACTAACTCGCTTTAAGTTGAACGATGCTTCATTTTGTCCTGAAAACTATTTCCATACTATTTGTAACTGAAACTAATATTTTTCGGATATATTACGCCACTTTATTTTTGTAAAAAACTACATTCTTCCGACGTTTCGGCTACTTTTCGGCAACCGTGATCACGGGCAGACGAGATGTGAATATCTTACTATTCAATAATTATAGTTATGTCACAAAATAAACTATACAAAGTTTTTCATAAAATCTTAAGTACCTAACGTTAACTTTTAATGATGGTTGTACAATCTATTTTCATTTAGAATTGTTTTAATTGTAAAACTTTTACAATCAATTCAATTCACTGTTGTTAAAGTAGAACGTCGTCAAATTCAAGTACAACCACAACTTCGAATAAAGGTTTAGTAAAGGCTGTCAGCGGGGATGAAATAATAAAATAAATTTATTCAGATGTAAAAGCTCTTAATCGATCTTGTTCTGTTTAAAATTAGTTGTTCTTATTGTAAAAGTAATATTTGAGAAACTTGTTATAAATATAGTCCAAAAACTCAATGAGATACGAAAAAGACACGTGGCTTTATATTATTTGATTATGAATACACAGAGACAATGAAAACTTGTACTAAAAAAGGTTTATTGTCTTTTGAAACATGGAAATAGCAATGTTTTATATTATAGATCCAAAAATATCGAATATATCCCTTTGCAAGAGAATTGCGTGAGCGGATGCACGTGGAGTTTAACATAGACAAAGTTTATAAGGAGAGGAAGTGCACTGAACGATTATTTTTTATATAAAATGTTACAAAATGCATTTAATTTACCAAATCCATGAATATAACTCATTGTTGCTATTGTCACTGAATGTTAAACATAATAACATCTATATTCAACTATTATTCTTGAAATAATCCATTAATTATGATTAAATTATTGTATGGACGGCGATTTCTAGATGTATCAATGTGAGAATTGCTAATTTGAAATTAAATAATACTTACTAAAGCTTAGCAATATAAAGGAAATTACATTGTTAAAATGTGACTAAACACGAAGACAAACAAATTGTTGTTAATATTTTGTGCAGAAAAGTATTTAGTGTGACTTTCTCTCTTTAATATTTTGATTAGCATCTAATGGAGTATTTATTATACTACGAACAATATGGGTCATAGCAATACATCATAGTCATAATACAGACGTTAACCTAATGAATAAATTATAAATTACAATGAGATTTCATAATATAATTAGCTGTTAGTTATGTTACGACTTATTATACTCAATAATCTCGTCTCGTCTGTTTGAAATACATATATGATGTACAAATACCGAACTCTAACAAGATATAGACGGCATTTACTATTAATCCTAAACCAACATGTTCTTTCATAAATGACGTACATATGTATGTAGGTAACAAACACAATGTTGTATAATACTTTATGCGAAATTGTTGATAAGTCTGTCTGATTATTCGTGCTATTTAATGAAAATACTGTATTTTTTGAATATTTCTAATAAGGTATTTATTATATATCTTTTATAAAGGAAGGCGACGGGTTCGCTGTACACAGGAATCTTTATTTCGTCTTGTACGTGGCCTTTAATCCCAGTTGAACGCACAACCCTTCGGGGTTGAAAGGAATTATCGAGAAGCTTATTACGGCTTGATTAACTTGAAAACGACTTAACACTATACCTATAATTAATAGAGAGATAACCCTTCTAAATGTATATAATTGGTGGAACTTAAAGGTTACTCGAGATGGATGCTCTATGTATTGCTCTTTGTATGAATTTGTCTAGTCAGTCTAAATATTAGAGGTATTTGTATTTTTCATTAATAAATCTTCGGCCATAGCCATTTCTTTGAAGATTTACAGGAGATAAACTTGTGTGTTTATATCTGAGGTCCTTTATCGTACTAAGCAAATAGTTACAGTATGACTTATTACAAATTTTAAAGCCATCTGACTCGAGTTTTTAAATTAAGTAATGACAAAAGGTGAAGATAACAGCCGAATTCTTTTATATTATCAACTACATATTTATAATATTTATATACGACTCCAGTTTCGTAACAGTTTTTGCAAAATTACGCTACCAAATTTATTTGTTTTTTATTTTTGTTCTTGTCATTGCATTTTTCATTAAGAATTAGGTACACTAGTTGGACCGGTAAGTTTCCTATTTTATACATAAGTGAGTTTACCATATTGAATGAGATGGTTGAATTTTTTACAGATGAGCCAAAATATCCTCATAATCTAATCCCTCAATCTCTTGACAGTTTATAGTGTAATTACAGCATTGATATTAATATTTACTTATTAGTTCGATTCTAGAAAAATAAACCACAAATAAGGACATTTGCTGATAATATACATATTAGCAAAAAAAAAAGTAAGGAAACGATAAAGAACACTGCTCTAACATCAAACGAACAACACAATTTCATAAATTTATACTAGAACAACCAGTATACTAACGATATTTCTCGATGTATACACTTATTTTTACAGTGAGGCAAGACTCACAACTAAAATACGGCCCAAAGGGTCCGATAAGGTCCCTTTTAAAAGAAAAAAACCTGGATAGTTCCAGTTGGATTCTACCTGTTACATAAATTAAAACAGTCATAAATGTCCGTCTAACCAAACTCGATAAGAATGTGGGAGGATAATTGTTTGTCTATTTTAGTCATCGCCTAGACATAAATTGCTTATTTGGATAGAATTACATTCGAAGTATTTGTTTTATGATTTTGAACGGCAGTTTAGAGCATGTAGATCGTCTAGCTTAAATTATAATCTTTTATTAATGAATATGACTACATTCCAATAAGGTACATTTTTGATGGTTTAGATCAATAGTCCCTATATTTAAGAGACTTTTAAAGGAAGGCCCTTGATTTTGAACTACTTTTATACATATAAAGATAATAGTGATAGAAGAGTTTGGTACTTATTTGGGTGGCGAATCTTTTAAAGACCACTGGAGTAATAAGACGCACACCAGGCATCAAGCCTTTTAGATATATTTAACCTATCGTCCTTGTAGTTTGTTGGTTCTTATTTAGAGTTTCATTTAATTTTTAATTTAGATTAGTTATTAACAAAACTTTTCACTTTATATAAAAAAGGACGCAACTGAGAAAAGTTACCTTACTCTACTTTCTACTACCTATCTAACTACGTTTAAATTATATAATGCGGATATATATTAACGAAAAACTTGAAACGTACTACATGTAGTTTGTTTTGCAAAACATGCGGTTATCAACAGAGAAATCAAAATAAACGTAATAATGCGATTACGTGGACGGCTGTGGCCAAAATGTTTCATAAAAAAAAGGCTATACCAGCAAGTCAGGTATTTTGAATAAGTGTTAACTAAGCTTCCCACTATATTTAATAATTATTTTTATAATATTTAATACAAAACGTGTCCTGCAGACCTGTCAGTTCAGAAACCCAAGGCAATATAAGGCAATTTCATTAAAAATTATTGGTTATTAATACAATAAGTAACAATATCTGAATCATA